AGTATTAATCATAAATATAATAAAAAGGAAAGCAAAAATATTTGTCGTTCTGTATATTTCAGAGCACATTTTACAAAAGGTTTCTATTGTTATTGCGTTTGATTGAAGAAATATTGTTTAGTCATTTATCTTACAGAATTCTTGTGCAACTTTTTGATCTGGTATTCATCATGTGTATGTTTTAAAATTTAGTTTCATACGATTGATAACTTGTTGAAGTAAGTAATACAGTCTGCTTAAATTCGTTTAGAGATGATTCATAATAGATGATTCAACTATTAGAAAAAAGCGATGCAATAAAATAAGCCAGATTATTTGTTCTATATGTTTTATATTCTTTTCGTCTGATTTTATCACAATATCTTCAAGTATGATTCGCATATTTAGCAATCACAGTATTCATTACAAATCTAAGTAAAACATTAGGCGGACACCGTTGTTAATCATCTTCCAGTAATCACTTGATTTGTTTTTACATTGTTAAAAGAGAATAGGGTGAAAAAAAAATGAACTTTTGTTCCTATCAAGTTCTATAACAATTTTCACATTATTTCCACTCATATTAAAAATCCTTGAAAATCATTCTTTAGTATTTGCCAATATTAAGAGATTTCCTAGATGTAATTCATTTAACCTCAATCTCTTTTATTTCTCTTCAAGATTGATATTATAATGACTGAACCTATGAAACCAAGTTACTGGTACTGTGATGCATGCAGTCGACTTCTCTTGCATGGAGAATACCGTTTCAACTGCACAGTCTGTGATAATTATGATTACTGTGAACAATGCATAACGACAGTCGATCCACCACATCCTCATCGAATGGTTCTTGAACTTGCATATGGTCGTGAAGAAACAAAAGAATGTGCTAACGTAGATATGGCGACTGCAATTCGAGCGGCAATAGCAATGTATTCAGATCGTCATTGCATGGGTATACGAGATGTTGACAAAGAGAATCCTTCTATCTATATGGATTCATATTCGTGGTTTACATTTAAGACCATTGGTAATCGATCAAAGAACTTTGGACATGGACTACGACATATAATTGAGCCACGAGGTTATCTTGCTATTTGTGCAGGGAACAGACCTGAATGGATGATTACAGATTTTGCATGCATTTTTCAAAGTATTATTAGCGTACCAATATATACTCTGTTTAATGATCGTGAAATTACATATGTCATCAACAACACAAAAGTGTCAGTTGTCGTTTGTGACAAGAAAATGTTACGAAGATTTGTTGGCCTAAAGTCACAATGTCCGTCACTCCAACATATTGTTTGCATGGATCCTATTTCCGATATAATATCAAGTGAGTAGATCGTGGGACATCAAAACTAATTCTGATTAAATTTCAAAATAATTTCTTAGTGGAGTGCCCTCCTTGATAAACTATCTCGTAAAGTTACTATGAAAAGTTTTCTTTTCTCTGACTTAATCAGATTCAGTATGAATTAAACTACGTAGTTTCAACGGTTAGTTCAGTATGATAGTTTATAGTGTTCAATGGAACTAGAAGAAAGCTAGTAAGTTTCAGTTTTCCATAGGTTTGGTGATTATGAATAAATACGAGATCACATAATGGGCATTGTCATTTTCTTACCTATACACTATATAAGATACAATCGTTTTTCAGCTTTGTTTCTTGTTTCTCAAAAATACAATAAATATTTGTTACTTTTAAATTGCAAGTGATCAAACTAGCATTTGCATGGTATTTGTGCAAAAGAGGTTTCATAACAGGTCCATAGAAAAGATATGAGAACATTATTAAGTATCGGGTAAAATACTTTATCTTGCTCATAGTGATATGGTGTATAACTATTTTGATAGAAAAATCTAGAGAATCAATTCAAGCTCGAAATAAATTTAATATTCATTTTCAAGGCAAATTTATCGATTTAGATACATTTAAAACAGCATCAGAAAGCAAAATTCTTTCTTGTGTGACATTTTCAGTGATTGATCAGCCTAAGAACGAGAGACAATTGACTACATTGGTTAATCTTTTTTCTGCATAACTGTCAACATAATTTTAATAGGCATGTCACACAGTGGCCTTTCCATCCATTTTATGGGTGATATCGAACAAGCTGGTTTTATCAAAAAGTATGACTATGCCACTATTGAGCCTGATGATTGTCTCACAATTATATATACTAGTGGTAGTTCTGGATTTCCTAAGGGTGCTATGATCTCAGAAAGTGCCTATCGAGCTACGTTTCCACGATGGTGCTTACCTTCTTCTCTCGAACGTATTACATTATCTTATCGCCCATTGGCATGGGCAGCTGACCGTGATGCTATTATTACAACTTTTCTCTGTGGAGGGCGGACAGGATTCTCCACAGAAGATCCTTCTCGACTGATGGACGAATTAGCTCTGGTTAGACCAACATATTTTGGTGGCCCTCCAAGTATTTGGAACAAAATATATACTGAATTTAAGATTTCTCTTGCCCTGATCACTGCTCACTGTCAACCTGAAGCCATAGCAGATGAAGAACAATGTCTTCTACAACAGTTCTCGAGGCTAATTCCTAATCGATGCAAATCAATCGCTATGGGCGGTGCAATGGTTAGTCCAGTAGTATTCAATTTCTTGAAACAATGTTTCACACATTGTTCAGTCAATGAATCATATGGAATTACTGAATGTGGAAGCGTGGCATACAATAATCTTGTTGAAAATTCACTTCAATATCGTCTTGAATCTGTTCCAGAGATGGGATATACAGTCGAAGATGAACCATTTCCTCGAGGAGAACTTCTAACAAAGACTCCACAAATGTTTTCTGGATATATCAACAATCCAGAAGAAACTAGTGCTGCTCTCACAGAAGATGGATTTTTTCGAACAGGTGATATTGTTGAACTATGTACTTCTCGTAATGGTCAAATTAATATACATGTTATTGATCGTAAAAAGAATTTCTTTAAACTTGCTCAAGGACAATTTATTTCACCTGAATTTCTTCAAAATATTTATATTCAAAGTCCTTTTGTTGAACAAATCTATATACATGGTGATCTTCTATCAGATTCTGTTTCTGCTGTTATTGTTCCTAATCAAAAATATGCACAAGCATATGCTATTGAACATAATTTGATTGATTTTAATATAAATAATCCTCATCCAGAATTGATTAATGCTATTTTACAAGATCTTCATTCAATAGGTGAAAAAGAATCACTTCGAAAATATGAAATTCCATCAAAAATTATCATTGATTTTGAACCATTTACTTCTCAAAATGGTCTTCTTACTTCTTCAATGAAACCTTGTCGTCATAAATTAGCTGCACATTATGCTAATCAACTTAAAATACCTAATGCTATTGAACAACGATTGAAAACTATTATTGAAAATGTTACAGGTAGATCAATCTCAATAGATAATAAAGAAGAAAATGTTTTTTTAAGTATTGGTGGAGATTCTTTAGCAGCTATACGATTATCTCGAATGATTGAAAATGATCTTGGAATATCATTATCATTTAATATACTTTTTGATCCTAAAATGAATTTAGAACGACTAACAACTTACATTCAAAATCCTTCTCAATTTTCTTCATTTTCTCAATCAATTCTATCACAAATGTTAAATGATTCTCAATTAGATTTTAACATAAAAGTTGAAAAACATAAATCTATAATTGATTTTCCTTCAATGGTTTTAATTACTGGAACAACAGGATTTATTGGTGCTTTTTTATTAGCAGAATTATTAACAATTTATCCAATCAAATGTAAATTTGTATGTCTTGTTCGATGTCAATCATCAATCAATGGATTAGATCGTATTCGAAAGAATATGTTATTTTATCAAATATGGAAAGATGATTATGAAGAACGAATTATTCCATTACAAGGTGATCTTTCACAAAATAATTTTGGACTTGATAAAGAAACATATCAATCATTTGTTCATCAAATTGATATTATATTTCATTGTGGTGCAATTGTTAATTTTATTCTTCCATATAATCAACTTTATGGTTCTAATGTATATGGTACTCGAGAGATTATTCGTTTTGCTACTCATATTCCATCTTCATGTATACCTATACAATATATTTCAACAATAAGTGTTCTACCATTTGATATTGACAAAGAGATATCAATTGATGAAACTTCTCCTGAACAATTAATTGGTGGTTATGCACAAAGTAAATGGGTAGCTGAAAAACTTATTGCAAAAGCAAATCATTCTGGTTTATTAGTTAATATTTATCGTTTAGGATTGATATGTGCTGATAGTCGAACAGGTGCATGTAATCAACATGATATTTATACATTATTAATTACTGCAATGATGAAAATGAATTGTTATCCAAAATCATTGACAGAATGTCATTTGAATGGTTTATCAGTTGATTTTACTGCAAAAACTATTGTATATTTGAGTAATCTTAAATCGAATGTCTATGGAAATATTTATCATATGATCAATCAAAATAGTGAAATAAAATTTGTTGATATAATCGATTGTATACATAATTGTGGTATTGAATTGGAAAGTGTTTCATATGATGAATGGAAAATAAAAATGAAGACAACGAATGATGGAGATAATTCTCTTGGATCTATATTAGAATTGTTTTCAAACATAATTATTGGAGAGAAATGTTTGGTATCAGCTGATGGATTTTATAGTGCTGTAGGTGTGTTAAGCCTTCCATCCTTCGATAAGGATTATATTTGTAAATGGTTAAGTTTTATAACGCATCATGTTGTTCGTAAATAGTATGTTTTATCTTTGTGTAATCTTGTTTTGTATTATAGAAAAAATAAAATGAATGCTGAATTAGGAGAAATTAACATTATCATCATTGACTTATTCAGTTTGTTTTGTTTTCCTAATAACAATATTTGTACAGATAGTAGATCATGAAATCAAGATGATCGATAAATAAGCAGTTAGACGAAAGTGAATCAGGATTGCATTGCCTAATATCCACGAGATGCTTCAGTCTCTGTTGACGTCTTATACCAATAAATGACGTAGTCGAATTTTAGGAAATGTGAATTTTCGAAAAAGAATGCGTTCACACTGGATTTATATTTTCTTCTGAAAAAGATTTAGATTCTGAATTCTTCTGAAATTTCCACTAACAAATCATTTTGTGTAGTGTAGTTCTATGTAAAAAATATAATAATCTGATTATTTTTTATATTATAACAAAAAGACGCAAATGCCTGTGGACAAGAGTTTACGCATGTTTGATTAAGTACTATAACTAGCGAAGTATTAGTAAACTATTAGAACAAGTTATTCAATAGAAGTAATAAAAATTCAAGATGTTTACATTGTATAAAAGTTCAAGTACATGATAATAACAGTTGTCTACAAGTTTTGATAAAATGGTACGCACTATTCAGAATAAGGTAAGTGTTATTTAAATCTGTGAATTGATGGGGAATTTTTAGTTACCTTTACAGTGAGATTAAGAGCATACTTTTCGTCAAAGTAATCAGAAAGGAGAAATTTTTCAATTGAATGTTCATTTCATTACTCGTATTATACGTAACTTAAGATTCATGAAAGATTCAAACAGAAACATTATAGATCTTGCTACATTTTATGAAAACAATCTGTTAATCATAGAAGATCAAAAGTTATAGGAAAACGAATATATTTTTAAATCTAATATTCAGGAAGTTTTCATGAAGATACACACGGTGATTAGAATACAGGAAACACTTGTCAAAGTTTTACTTTTGTTTTTTGAGTTTTTAATGACATTTGGAAGAGTATTATCCAAAATAGGGAAACCTAAATTTTTAGCTGATTCAGATGTTCTATTGAAAGTTAGGTTATACAGATTTTTGACCATTAACCAGAGATGGACGAGTCAGCAAAAAAGTTGCACCGTCACCGCCCCGTTGATAAAGTTCCGCCCCGCCCGCCCCGTCCAAAATGTTTTCAAAAACTGTTTCTCGACAAATTTTTCCTTA